TCCTGTGTTATTTCTGTGTTATTACTTTGTAATTTCTGTGTTATTACTGAGTTATTTCTGTGTTATTACTGTGTTAATCCTGAGTTATTCCTGTGTTATAACTGTGTTATTTCTGTGTTATTACTGAATTATTCCTGTCTTATTACTGCGTTATTACTGTGTTAATACTGTGTTATTTCTGTTATTACTCTATTATTACTGTTATTACTGTGTTATTCCTGTATTATTACTGAATTATTCCTGTGTTATTTCTGCTATTACTGTTTTATTCCTGTGTTATTTCTGTGTTATTACTATGTTAATCGTGTGTTATTACTGTGTTAGTCCTGTGTGATTCCTGTGTTATTTCTGTTATTACTGTGTTATTAATGTGTTATTCCTGTGTTATTACTGAATTATTACTGTGTTTTTGCTGTGTTATTTCTGTTATTAATGTTATTAATGTGTTATTCCTGTGTTATTGCTGAGTTATTCCTGAGTTATTCCTGGGTTATAACTGTGTTATTACTGTGTTATTACTTTGTAATTTCTGAGTTATTCCTGTGTTATTACTGTGTTAATCCTGAGTTATTCCTGTGTTATAACTGTGTTATTTCTGTGTTATTACTAAATTATTCCTGTCTTATTACTGCATTATTACTGTGTTATTACTGTGTTATTTCTGTTATTACTCTATTATTACTGTTATTACTGTGTTATTCCTGTATTATTACTGAATTATTCCTGTGTTATTTCTGTGTTATTACTGTGTTAATCGTGTGTTATTACTGTGTTAGTCCTGTGTGATTCCTGTGTTATTACTGCGTTATTAATGTGTTATTCCTGTATTATTACTGAATTATTCCTGTGTTATTTCTGTGTTATTACTGTGTTAATCGTGTGTTATTACTGTGTTAGTCCTGTGTGATTCCTGTGTTATTACTGCGTTATTAATGTGTTATTCCTGTATTATTACTGAATTATTCCTGTGTTATTTCTGTGTTATTACTGTGTTAATCGTGTGTTATTACTGTGTTAGTCCTGTGTGATTCCTGTGTTATTACTGCGTTATTAATGTGTTATTCCTGTATTATTACTGAATTATTCCTGTGTTATTTCTGTGTTATTACTGTGTTAATCGTGTGTTATTACTGTGTTAGTCCTGTGTGATTCCTGTGTTATTACTGCGTTATTAATGTGTTATTCCTGTATTATTACTGAATTATTCCTGTGTTATTTCTGTGTTATTACTGTGTTAATCGTGTGTTATTACTGTGTTAGTCCTGTGTGATTCCTGTGTTATTACTGCGTTATTAATGTGTTATTCCTGTAATTTTGGTTGTCACTGTGTTATTCCTGTGTCCTTTCTGTGTTATTACTTTGTAATTTCTGTGTTATTACTGAGTTATTCCTGTGTTATTACTGTGTTAATACTGAGTTATTCCTGTGTTATTCCTGTGTTATTTCTGTGTTATTACTGCGTTATTACTTTGTTATTCCTGTTTTATTACTGAATTATTCCTGTGTTATTACTGTGTATTTCCTGTGTTATTACTGTGTTCTTCCTGTTATTTCTGCTATTACTGAGTTATTCCTGTGTTATTTCTGTGTTATTTCTGTGTTAATCCTGTGTTATTACTGTGTTATTCCTCAGTTATTTATGTTATTCCGGTGTTCTTACTGTGTTATTCCTGAGTAATTTCTGTTATTACCATGTTATTACTGTGGTATTTCTGTGTTATTTCTGTGTTATTCCTGTGGTATTTATGTTGTCACTGAGTTAATCCTGTGTTATTTCTATAATTAATGTTAATTTTGTGTTATTCCTGGGTTATTACTATGTTATTCCTGAGTAATATCTGTTAGTTCCATGTTATTACTGTGTTGTTTCTGTGTTATTTCTGTGTTATTACTGAGTTATTTCTGTTATTCCTGTGTTATTTCTGTGTTATTACTGCGTTATTACTTTGTTATTCCTATTTTATTACTGAATTATTCTTGTGTTATTACTGTGTATATCCTGTTTTATTTCTGTTATTACTGTGTTTTTCCTGCTATTACTGAGTTATTCCTGTTTTATTTCTGTGTTATTACTGTGTTAATCCTGTATTATTCCTTGGTTAGTCCTGTTTTATTCTTGTGTTATTACTGTGTTATGCCCGTGTTATTCATTTGTTATTACTGTGTTATTCCTGTGTTATTAATGTGTTATTTCTGTGTTATTACTGCATTATTCCTGTGTTATTCCTGTGTTATTAATGTGTTATTTCTGTTATTACTGTGTTATTCCTGTTATTTCTGCTATTACGGAGTTATTCCTCTGTGATTTCTGTGTTATGACTGTTATTACTGTGTTAATCCTGTGTTATTAATGTGTTATTCCTGTTTTATTACTGAACTATTTCTGTGTTATTCCTTTGTTATTTCTGTGCTATTACTGTGTTATTAATGTGTAATTCCTGTGTTATGCCTGTGTTATTCCTTTCTTATTACTCTGCTATTCCTGTGTTATGCCTGTGTTATTAATGTGTTGTTCCTGTGTTTATTACTAGGTTATTGCTGTGTTATTACTGTGTTATTAATGTGTTATTCCTGTTATTTCTGTGTTATTACTGCATTATTACTGTGTTATTACTGAGTTAATCCTGTGTTATTTCTGTTGTCACTGTGTTATTCCTGTGTTATTAATGTGTTATTCCTGTTTTATTACTGAATTATTTCTGAATTATTTCTGTGTTATACCTTTGTTATTTCTGTGTTATTACAGTGTTATTACTTTGTTATTCCTGTTTTATTACTGTGTTATTACTGTGTTATTCCTGAGTTATGTCTGTTATTATCATGTTATTCCTTTGTTTATTACTGTGTTATTACTGAGTTATTCCTGTGTTATTACTTTGCTATTCCTTTGTTATTATTGTGTATTTCCGGTGTTATTTCTGTTATTACTGTGTTATTCCTGTTATTTCTGCTATTACTGAGTTATTCCTGTGTTATTTCTGTGTTAATCCTGTGTTATTACTGTGCTAGTCCTGTGTGATTCCTGTGTTATTACAGTGTTATTAATGTGTTATTTCTGTTATTACCATGTTATTACTGTGTTCTTCCTGTGTTATTTCTGTGTTATTACTGAGTTATTCCTGTGTTATTTATGTTGTCACTGAGTTATTTATGTGTTATTACTGTGTTCTTCCTGTGTTATTTCTGTGTTATTACTGAGTTATTCCTGTGTTATTTATGTTGTCACTGAGTTATTTATGTGTTATTACTGTGTTCTTCCTGTGTTCTTCCTGTTCTTCTTGTCATTTCTGTTTTATTCCTGTGTCATTTCTGTGTTATTACTGTGTTAATCCGGTGTTATTAATGTGTTATTCCTGAGTTATTGCTGTTATTATTGTGTTATTCCTGTTATTACTGAGTTATTCTTGTGTTATTTCTGAGTTATTCTTGTGTTATTTCTGAGTTATTCCTGTTTTATTCCTGTGCTATTTCTGTGTTATTACTGAATTATTACTGTGTTATTACTGTGTTAATCCTGTATTATTCCTTGGTTAGTCCTGTTTTATTCTTGTGTTATTACTGTGTTATGCCCGTGTTATTCATTTGTTATTACTGTGTTATTCCTGTGTTATTAATGTGTTATTTCTGTGTTATTACTGCATTATTCCTGTGTTATTACTGTGTATTTCCTGTTTTATTTCTGTTATTACTGTGTTATTCCTGTTATTTCTGCTATTACTGAGTTTTTCCTGTTATTTCTGTGTTAATCCTATTACTGAGGTAATCCTGTGTTATTCCTGTGTATTCCTGTGTTATTACTGTGTTAATCCTTTGTTATATCTGTGTTATTACTGTGTTATTAAAGTGTTATTCATGCAAAGTATGTTGCAGCTGTTATTTCTATGAAATTATGTTGTCTTTGCTATTCTGTTACTAAAAACATTTTTCACTGTTTATCCTATTTTGGCACAATCCCTAAACTGAACTTGAGTACTTTTACTAAGGGCACCCATCTCACATGAAATTGAACTATGTAAAACATATTCTACCTGCCTTCCTGATATAAATTACTATGAATTTGATATGGTAATTAATACTGAGACACTAATTTGGGCAAAAAGCACTAATGACTTGTTTAAGACTCGAATCTTACAGCTGAGGACATGTAACTCGACTTGGACTTGCCTGTCTTGACTCGGGACTTGACTTGGGACTTGTCTGTCTTGACTCGGGACTTGATTCGAGACTTGAATGCAAAGACTCGAGATTTACGTGTGACTTGCAAAACAATGACTTGGTCCCACCTCTGTCTTATAGTTGTACAATTTATTTTATACTTATTTTGTGTGCCGTTGATGATGACTAGCATTGAAGATTGTTAGAAATTGCTACTACATTTAGCTGCTTTATGAGATAATACAACACAGTTACATTTCCCTTTATTCTGTCTGGTAGCACAGGAATGCTAAGAACAGGATCAAAAATACAATAGGTTATTTGTCTTGTCTGACTTATGCACCTGTGTTGCAGATTGATGTCATCACTGGCTCTAGCAGTTGCATTGCCTTTATCAACTTTGATTTTGAATATTGTTTAGGTATTGTGCCACATGTCGCTTGATGAACTATAAAATAACTAACTGAAAACAAACTGAAACAGCATTCAGAAAAAAATCTTAATTTATTTACTTAAAATAAATAAGAAATATACAGCATACATGCATTTAAATGCATCTAGAAACAGCCTTACACCCCACAACCACCCTGCACCATCAATAATATGATTATCAGTTTGTTGTTATCAAATCAAAACTCCTGGAAGCTCTAGGGATGATAACTTACAAGGCAGCTTTTTGGGGGCTTTTGTATGATGAAATATTGGGTAGCAAATTTGTGCAATGAAAAATGGAAACAGTCTCAGTGCTGCCCACCTTAATCTTAAAAAAAGGAAAAGTTGTCCTGTGAATGATTAAGTATAGTATTGTATTACATCTAAGTGCTAAGGGAGAATGCACTACTCTGTTATCGCCATCTTGAAATTGTAAATCTATGTTCCAGAAGCAGTTCTTGGTTTCCAGAGAAATCCATCTTTGGCTCGGTGGATGAAACAGTCAGTGCTGCAGCAGTTATTTCTCTGTTCATACTTATTGCTGCCGCCACACTTTCGCTTAGGACACCAATAGATCTCGTATTGCCATTAGTCGACTCACTGTTTCTGTTTGTTTCACAAAATCCATTGGCCCACCCGTTTCCACCGTTAGTCCCACTACACATCCAACTGGATCCAGAGTTTACATTTATCCCTGCTACACCCCCCTGTGGGTTCTGAGATGTGTCCATGTTTTGGGCAAGGCCTCCGTGGCGTGCCATGTGGTTATTTGATGTGCTTAGGTTGTCCATCTGGCTGCTGCCACTGGTGCTGTGAGTGGGCAGGCTGGACATAGAGTTCCTTCCAGAGTCAGAGAAGGTACCAGAATTTGTCTCCAGCTTGGGGTCCTGAAGATCTTTTAGCTTGTCTATAGGACTAATTCTCTTGCCCAGGATAGTGCTCAAGCTGTTATGAGTCTCCACCGAGGAACTGCTGCTTCGAGGAAGAACGAGTTTGAAGGCGGTGGGTCGAATTAAAGCATTCTCTTTACTCTAAAAGAGAGAGGACACAAAATATTATTTTAAGAGTATTTTTGGGATTTGAAGTGCAGTACAACCAATTGATCATTCACTCATGTTTATGGCAGGACACAAATCCATCTTAAAACCTATCGATCAGATGCTCTCAAAGTAATTACTGGCATAACTGCCAGGGCATTACAACAAAACATTTTTTCAGAAATGATTGATCCACAAGATAATCTCAAGAATCCTTTCCTTTTTTCTTATTCCTCTCCCTTATTCCGTCACTTCCTCTTACTCATGGTAGCAAGTTTACCCCATGGTTTAGCATGAATTTCCTGACCAAGTGAAACTGGGCTCATATTCCTAGCAAGATTTTTCATAAATGAGGCTATTCAGGGAAAGAGGTGCTTGCATGCTTGCAACTGCCACACCGCCATTGGACCAAATCTCTAGAGAGATCAAGGCATTCTTACCTCGTCAATCTGGAGGTTTAATTAAATGGAGCAGACACCGCTAAGCTCTTAGCGAAAGCGTCAGGGGCTGGTGGGGATTACTTAGCATCAACTATACTTGACTGTTGTTTAATTTTTTGTGATAACAATGTCTGGGGGATGGGCCATCTTTTGATTTTGGCTGCTTTAATCTGAACTGAGCATGAGTTTTGCAAAGCAGACATTTTGCTTTGTTTACAAGTTGTACTGCTTTAAATTGGGGTTTTATAGGACTGAAACACTACACAATAATATAGGCAGTGAATAAATTAAACTCTTGATGATATGTTATTTTGGCAAATAAAAATGAACTTTTTGTAGCCCATGCCTCGCTTTGTTTATTCTCTGACTGACTCTAGTTCTGTTACCTTTTCTAGTTTTCCAGACAGCGGAACTAATTCTGGTGGCCCTCCTCTCCTGTCCACCTCATTGTCCATCTCAGTTGTTCTTCCTTGACTGTCTTCAGCTGTATTAATGTTAGCAGTTCGGGGCTTGTTGCTGACTTTGATGTAAAAGAAGTCGTCATTTTTGCCTGAATGATAGCTGACTTTTGAGCTGTTGTTGGTGCTGCAATGGTCCTGAGAGAAGCCATACTTCAGAAGGCCATCCAAGCTACGGCCTGTTTTCTTAGACTGAAGCCCCTTTTTGACTTTGTTTTCAGAGGCTTTGCAGTGTTTGCTGTGGAGGCTATGGCCTGATATCAAACTGCTGACACTACCCATGTTTCCTGGGACATCTGGAGAAAGCAGGTGGTGGTCTTGGTGGTGGCAGGTGTGTAATTACAGAATTTTAATGATGGAGGAAGGTCTGATGGACTCATAGCCTTGTGTGGAGATCCTTCTTATTCCCATTTGGGAAACCTGGTAAAACATGGATTTTAAGAAATGTAGTGAGATGACTCCTTTAGGCATTAGAGCAGTATAGTCTATGCAGAATTTTCTTAATGTTTACTTTACTTAACGTTCACTAGGTCAGCAAACAAGTCCTACAAAACCAGGAACTACAGTATTTTTTGTTGGCTCTTTGCCCACATGGGATACAATGGGGTAGACCTAATGGCAGTTACCCATAATATCCTGATTTACAATATGGAGACCATACTGAAAGCATGCGTTGAACAAGTACCAAGAACACCCTCCTCTTTGACAAACAAAGGCAAATGCAAGCTTGAAATTAGTGTGACAGGTCAAACATCTATTCATATTACTTGGTCAGTAGGTCAAAAGACCTGCCAATTACTTTTTTTTCCTTCTTGTCAGGCTACCAGAAACAATGAGTATGTTTCCATGCACTTTGATTTTGATTTTTGCCGGACTAAAACAACAGCTATTTAAAATGTCATGCTTTAAATGCTTTAGTCTAGTCCAACGTACCGGTCCGATTTTTGTGAAGTTAGACAAATAATGTGATTGAAGATTTGCTTCATCCAGCATGTACACACATCAATCCATTACAGCTGGCTTCTGTGTTGTGGCTTGTGCATTGTTTATTTAATCTTTCAAATATATATTAAATCTTTAAAAATATTTGATTTGCCATGTATAGTTTGACAGACTTTAGCTCAAACATAATGGTGCATGTAAACATGCATAATGTTTTTGCATATTACATTACATCAAACAAGCATTACTTAGAAGGAAAAAAAACAAGCTTACAGTACATATTAGTGTAGATATATAAGGTTCCATATGTTGGACATAATATGGGGTCCCACTAGGGAGATGGGACCTGTCAGTCACCTGACAACAGTTCAAGAGTATCAAAGGTCTGTCAACAGCTACTCAACCTTCTTTTATGATTCATATGTGCCTAAAGCATATATTACACATCCATAATCAACACACCATGCCTTCCATCTGTCTTTCAGAGCAGATAGTGAGGGGCTTCACGAACAAAAGACCTGCCACGATCATCACACGTGGCTTTGTATAACTGGCCTAATTGTGATTATGTGCTGATATGTTAAAGGCTTATTAGCTAGAAAGAACACAGCAAATATGCCAGCTGTTTCTTAATTATTAGCGTCACATTATGAATTTATGCTTTCCAAAGAAATTTTTTTTAATGTTATTTTGTTGTAACTTTGCTGCCTCGCAGCTGGTTTTAGATAAGAGAACCATAAATGCAACCAAATCTGTGTTTGTTTCTGATCTCTGTTTCAAAATAAAATAATCAAATAAAACAGATATTGTAGAAGCATACATTAGTAAACACTGATTCAATTGTTTGCACTCCGTTACCATTGCCAGAAGGATGATATTCCACAAACAACTCAATTATCATGCATGTGGTTTTCAAATAATTAAATAAGATTATTCAACACTACTTTTGCATTTTTATAAATAAATGCATCTGTTTCAGCAGAAGGACTTAATGGCTTCAGGCAGCCCTTTGGCAGTCCCTTACAATGAAAAGCGATCTCATCAGTGTCTTTGTTTAATAGAGTCACACATATTTTGTCCTCGAGGCATGCCAAGCAATGATGTAATGCTAATACTCTTCTTTTATGCAGCACTGCAAATGAATCGCAGTGCTTGACATTATTATCAATTCACACGTTCTGTTACAACACCTAATGCATAGTTGTCATAAATTAAAAATGCAACGAAATCCATTTAAAACAACTTGCATAAATCACTGGAACAAGCAAACTGTTTTTGTCAACCCACAGAGCGTATTTTTTGTGATGAGTTTGCACTTTTCATTTTGTATGCTAATTGCTAAATAATAACAAACATGAACATTCATGAAAAGCAATGTTTAGCAATCTCTGTATGCACTGCATATTATTATTGTATTATTTGTTCATTTGTAAGGTACAAAACAATCAGCAAGACTCAAGTCAAACATTGCATTGTGCTTTGACACATGCACAGGCATCACTTCCCAACATGTGATGCAGGTAAACAATCTCAGTTGGAGCGTCTCAATATCTGTCTGCCATCTGTAACCCGAAATCACCTCTTTACTATCAAGTTCAAAGGCTTACCGGAATAAAATAGATGACAAAATGACACTTACTCTCCAAACAAATAAATCCACAGACGCAGTGTTTGTGAAATCTGAATCAAATCTCCTTCGCATGCTCTCCGTGGCGAGTCAGAATGTGTTTGTCCTTGAGTGAACCACTGAATACTCTATAGTCTGCCTGTAGGCAAGAGTCTACCATGCAAAGGGGGCGGATCTTATCACCATTCACCAGTTTTTTTTTTCTCTTCATATCTTTTTTTGGAATAACCGACATGCAAATGTTGCTGGGATACGGGACCCCAGTGTCCCCTGGGGTCCCTTGGGGCAAGGAGGGGGCAGAGACCATTACACCTCTTTACATAAGACGTGTGCCACTAAAGAGATTAACTCACTGCTGCTTACAATGAGCTGCTTGCCCCCCTCTGTCACACTCACTTTCTCTCCCGCTCTTTCTTACACCTCAACACTAACACCATAACACAATCACAATACGCAAACATATGCACAAGTTTGAGTAGCTTTTGTGACTCTCACTCATTTTTTATTGGTTATCTTTCACCGTTTTCTGTACAAACACACACTTCTCCCAGTTGGCTCCCTTTGCTTCCCTCCCCTCCTCTCCAAACTGCCCTGCACCCACTCTGAACAAACACCCCTCCAGGAAAAGAAAGAAGAGCTTGATGTTCCCTCCCTCCGTCTGTGTCTTTGTCCACTGAAGTGTGCCTGTTTCGTGTGAGGTTCAGTGAGCTTGAACATTTATTTAGGCTGAGTGCTACATTTACACCATAAAATAAATGACTCTCTAACTACCTCTCAAAAAGAAGTGTGCTGCCGTAAAATGCAGAAGGCGTCTTTGTGCAGATGTTCCTGTTTGTAAAAATCAACATTAAAATGCCAAAGCAGTCAAATATTTTAATAGCCTCCAAAAGCAGTTGAACACGTTTAAATTACCCTCTTGATACTTTCTTATTGTAGTAGTCAAACACAAGTGGCCCTTTGGCTTGGAAGTAGTCTATCTATGAAAAGTAAATCTTATAAGAAATAACTGATGAAAATAGGTCTTTATATTTACAATATTTGTAAATTTATCTAGTTTCAGAAATGTTTTTTTTTCTTTAAAAACGGGACAAAACCCAAGCTTTTAGGCTTTTACAAGAATATTCGGTCCCACTTTATATTAAGTGGCCTTAACTACTATGACTTACATTTAAATTAATCATTTGGTACAATGCACTTATTGTGTACATTTTTAAAATGCCTGCATGTAATTACATGTGTAATTAATTTCTGTAATTACATTTATAATTACACTGTTAACCCACCCTTAAACCTACCCATACCACCAAACCTGTCCCTAACCTTACTTGTTTCCCACCTCAATAGCAGCAAATTTGCAATACAGTATGAACACAATAAGTACATTGTACTTAATTTTTGATGTAAGTACATAGTAGTTAAGGTCACTTAATATAAAGTGGGACCGGATATTCACTTCAAATGTTAATTATAGATTTGTACAATATAAATTAAATTCAGCACATTTGGTTTGTAAGTGTACATTTGGATACTATTTTTGTGACTGTTCAAGGATTTTCAAGAAATTATCATAAGCAGTTTTTCCCAACAATTGTTCTAAACTCTTGTTCTAAAGTCGTCATATAAGTGTCTCTGAAAACGATAAAAATATCTAAGAGTAAACTCAAAATGACATAAAATCCACTACACAGCTATTGCTCTGCACCAATGTTTCTGCATCTGTGTACATTAATCTGAAGCGCAAAATCAGCACCGTGGGGACCAGAACAAAGAAGGCACACTTTCAGATAATCAATCTGGCTGTGAAACTCTATCCCAACTCTGCGAATGCATCCCTTTGTCCAAAACACCAAGGTTGAAAGAGTTGTGTTGTTTGGAGGGAACGTTACATTTGGAGTTAGCAAAACATTTTACATGCTGCTCTTGAGGGGCATAATGCTTTTTTGAAAGGATTTGCATGGTTCTGTCGCACCACGTCCCTTCCGAGTATTAATTTCATTGCACCCCGACAAGATGTTATTTTGGGGGTAAAGTTTGTTTGGCAAGACCGCAGCAGAAGGCATGGTATTGATTCTTCAGATGCTCTTTGTAAGTGCTTAGTGGAGGGATCAATGTAATCAATATGCAAAAACAGGACGTAGCCGTGGACAATGGACTGGCACATTTGCAAGTGTGCGAGGAATCAAAGGTCGCCCAGTCTACGGCTGTGGCCCCTCGGGACAGGGTGCACAGACAGCACATTGAATAGGTTTCTTTAAATTATGAATGTGGATTTAAGTGTCTAGGAGTTCCCAGAGGAGTTGTTGTTTAATATGGTATCTGGCTATGAAAGTGAGAGGGCAACAGTGTAATAATGAGATATGCATATATGCATAATGTCATAGGCCCTTATTGGTCACTTCAGAGTAGTACCACTTTTGATTTATGACATCTTCCGTTTCAGTTAGATGCAGTTCTCAGTCTTAATCAGGCGATGACTGCTGTGAGCAAATAAATTTGATTAAAATTAAATTATTATTTTCTTACTTTTTTTCTCACATGATTCCTATATATATTTTTACCACTACACACTTAAAAATAAAGGCTTTTTATTGGATTTGTTGGATCCATGAAGAACCTTCAACATCCATATAATCTTTCAATTTATGAAAAGGATCTTTATAACGGAAAAAGGTTTTCTTCAGATTATTAAAATGTTCTTCTCACTCAGAAAAACATGGTTCTTTCAAGAACTGTTCACTAAAAGTTTTTTTGGAGGGAACCCTAAATGGTTCTTCTATGGCATCACTGTGAAAACACCCTTTTGAAATCTTTGTTTTTAAAAGTGTAAAAAACGTTTTTGCAATGAAAAGGT